TGGGGTGGTGGGGGGGGGTGTGGGGGGTGGGTGGGGGGGGGGGTTGGGGTCAGCATGGTGTTTTGTTTCCAGCACCAGGTACTGTTTCAATACCTGCATATATTTCATAAAGTTTAAATATGGGTTCTTCATCCTTTCTACAAGCATTTTGAGATGTACAGTGGATCTGTAGTCAGTCTGTGTAGTAGCACACAACAGAGCTGTTCATGCCTGTCACTATGACTTAGTGCCGTTGCCACAGATTGTTACTGCTGTTTCTAAAGCATAAGAATAGTAGGGTTGGGCCTGGAGAGTTGGCACTACCATAGTGAGAGAAAGACCCCTTCTTGTGTTACAAAGAATTGCAGTTTGCAGAAATAACATTCCATTCCTTACCATGCCTGTCACCAAGCCAGCGATTTTCAGTATGTTCAGTGGATTCCTTTGAGTTCCTATGCCTCTTTCAGGGTTTCTGTGAAGCAGAAGTTACTTGTGTAGGAATACTAGGACATGTTTTGCCCTTTTCAAATGCATTGTGTTGGCGTGGGAGGAGAGGGTATGCTTGTTTGTCTTCCTCAGACACCATCCACCTTAGTTTTCTGAGATTGGGACCTAGGCTCTCCAATTTGTCTATGCTAGTTGACTAGTGAGCCTCTGAAATCTATCCAGCTTTTTCATTTGGATCCTGAGGATTGAACTCTGGTCCTCAAGTTTGCATAGCAAGCATTTCACTGACGGAGCTATCCCTGCAGTCTCCTTTTTCATGTGCTTTTTTACTCACAGTTTTCCAGGAGCTATGCGACACTACAACAGAATGCAGAATTAAAAATACTGCTACTTGTGTAAATTTAGACAAAGACTTGCAAAAATGTAAAATGCTACCATTTTCACTATTTATTTTGAAAATAGAATTACTTTTTATAAAATTGGTTATTTTAACATAATAGCACATTTACTTATATGTATAATGAATGTATGTATAGTGTATGCCTTTGTGTGCATGTGTGTTTGCAGTATGTTGGATGTCCTGCTTTATCATTCTGTTTTATTCCCTTGAAAGAGGGTTTCACTGAACCCACAGCTCACTGTCTTAAGTTGGCTGGCCAGTGGGTCCCAGTGATATTTGGTATCTCTCCCTCTCCTCCCCTCCACCAGCAGTGGGCATGGGAACTCATGCTTGTGCTATGAGTACTGTTACCTACTGAGTCATCCTCCCAGTCTTTTTTTTTTTTTTTTGGAATTAATTTATATAAACCATACCTCTGTATGGTCCTCAGTCATTTTTTTAATGTAAAAGTATTTTGAAACCATTGCACTAGCTCAGTAAGCAACCATCATCCGGAGCTCAACCCTCATGATTCTAGCCATAGAGGTTTAGGCAGGAGCTGAGGAATTTTAGATGTCCCAAGTCCTGTGTAATTTCTTTTCATGTGACCCTCTAAAAACACTGAAGATTTGTAGTTGGTTTTCTTTTTACTCTTTGCTCTTTTGGGGGCCTGCCTTACTTACTTATGAATGCCTGGCCTTAGCTTGGCTTATTTCTAGCCAGCTTTTCTTAAATTATCCCATCTACCTTTTGCCTCTGGGCTTTTACCTTTCTCTATTTCTGTGTATCTTTTCTTTCCTTCTAATTCCATGTCTGGCAGGGTAGATGGCCTCTAGCATCCTCCGATGGGGGGGAATGTCTGTATGCTGTCAATATGTTTCTCTTATTGGTTGATGAATATGGCTGTTTTGGCCAGTGGACAGGCAGGATTTGGCCAGGTGGGAAATCCAAACAGGGATAGAGAAAGGTAGTAGGCAGAGTCAAGGAAACACCATATATCTACTGGGAAGGTAGGATGCCCAGGCATTCTGCAGTAAGCCAAGACCATGTGGTGATACACAGATTAATAGAAATGGATTAATAATTAATAGAGCTAGCTAATGGGAAGCCTGAGCCAGTGGCCAAACAGTTTATAATTAATATAAGCCTCTGTGTTTATTTGGGACTAAATGGCTGTAGGACCGGGTTAGACAGAAACTTCTATCAATAATCTTCCTCTCCTTTTCTTGATTCTCTCTCTCTTCTATTTTTATTTATTCTCTATGCATGCCAGCCTTGCCTATTTCAAGCAGGAGAGAGAAAGGTAAAAGCCCAGCTGCTTTTATTAGACCAGTCAGGTGTTTTAGATAGGCAAAGTAACAAGCTTTACAGAGTTAAAAAAAAAAAAAAAGCATCATAAGAGAATACAACACATCTTTGTATCATTAAGAATATTTCACAGCATAAAAGAATGTAACACATCTTTAACTATTATGCCACAACAGAAAACCATTGTATAATTTTTTTGAGTTCCCATTGCTCAAGACGGTTATATTTACAGTATCTTTAGAATACTGTGTAGTATGAAGTATTTCAACTCTGTTGAAAAATTGGATACAATGTGAGTATAAAGCCAAGGTACATGTCATGCCAACCAATATGCTTTCTTTTTTTCTTTTTGTTTTTGATTTTTGAGACAGAGTTTCTCTTTGTAGCTCTGTTTTGTCCTGGAACTTGCTTTGTATATTAGGCTGGCTTTGAACTTCCTCCTGCCTCTGTCTCCCAAGTGCTGGGATTAAAGGCATGTGCCACCCCACCCCCCACCCAATATGCTTTTGTACTCAAATTAGAGACTTTAGTTTTTTTAAACATTTAGAGAGAGAGAGAGAGAGAGAGAGAGAGAGAGAGAGAGAGTGTGTGTGTGTGTGTGTGTGTGTGTGTATGTGCGCACATACCTCAGTGCATAGGTGAAGGTCAGGGTACAGCTTTCAAGGGTCAGTTCTCTCCTTCCAACCCATGGGTTCCAGGGCTGAAATTTAGGTCATCAGCCTTGGCAGCAAAGCTGGCTCACCCACTGAGCCATCTCACAAGCTTGAAACTGAATTTTAATTTGGGATGAATAGCAGTGACTCTTGAGAATTATGAAAAGTAGAAAGTTTTGAAGTTTTTGTTAATTTGAGTTATACTTAACAATGTTAATAACACAAACCCACCACTTAACATGAGAACAGAAATAAAAACTAATTTTGTGCTACTCTCCAACCTGAAATAACAATTTTTAGTCTTATGCTTATTATTACCTTCTTTTATTTACTGTAATTACCATTTGTATAATACTAAAATATATGTCAAGTTCTAGTTATTTTTTACATGGTAAGAAGGGCATCTTGCCAGGCAGTGGTGGTGCACGCCTTTAGTCCCAGCACTCGGGAGGCAGAGGCAGGTGGATCTCTGTGAGTTTGAGAGCAGCCTGTTCTACAAGAGCTAGTTTCCAGGACAGTCTCCAAAGCCACAGAGAAACCCTGTCTCGAAATCCTCCCTCCCCCCAAAAAAGAAGGGCATCTTTGGGGAGTTCTTTTTAATCATCACTATCATTATTATTTAAATTTTTTTGTTGTTGATTTTTTTGGGGATCTCACATAATGCATCCATGTGTTTCGTCCCCCCCACTTCCCCGTGACCTCTACCCACTCCTAAGGGGGTAAATAGCTCATGTTGTGTTGTCCATATATTTACTGGAGCATGACCAGATTCCTAGAGGCCAGTCCCCTAAGAGAGAATGAGTCTTTCTGCACCTGCATCTCGGCCAGAAGTCATCAGCTGAGGGGAGTGGTGTGGTGGCTGGAGCCAGCTACCCCCTAGCCAGTGTGCAATGGGCGTGACCAGCTCTCCTGCGCACAGACTTCAGCCCAGACCATGTGCAACTAGTTGGGTTTCAGTGGTAACATGGGCAATAGTCTTCAACAGGGCTGTTGGCTGCATCATGACTGCTGACTTCACTCATGACCCTCAGCTGCTTCATGTCACATCAGCATGGCACTGGAGGCCATAAAGCCTGAGGACGTCACCAAGGTATCAGGCAGAGGCACAGACTGTATAAGTCTACATGGATCTCAGGTTTCATCAAGGCCTGGGTCAGCAAACATCGTGGACCACTGACACTAACTTGGCCTCCAGTGCCTTCGAGAAGGACCAATCCAGACAGTGAAACTTTCTTCATCTTCTGCCTTCGGTGTAGCCTAGAGCCAGGGGGATTCCCTTGGCCAGGATGCAGGTTCCAGGGTTGAGTCTGTATCTGCTTAATCTCCAGGCTGTTGTATACCATTTGGCCCACCCTACCCAGCAATGACAGCAAGTAAATCTCAGGCCTCTTTCTCACCTGTCACTGCCATCACGTCTCCAGTTCCACCTTTCTCCATAGTGCACTTGTCATTAAGGATTATTCAGCTAATTACAAACAGAACTAGAGTCTTGGATTTTACTCAGAATTTAGACCTTTAAGCTTGTGAGTTCTGCAGACTTCCGCTGTTATTTTTCTGTTTTATCATTTTGTGTTTTTTCTGGTGGTGAAGACCAAATGCAGGGATTTTATGCATGCCAGACAATCAGTAATTATGAACTATATTCCTAGCTTAAACTTCCAATTTTTAAAAAATGAATTGTGATATCCAAAGATTAACCACTTGTTATATTTGAAAACAAATAAGCCATTAGGCATTAGTGATCACACTTGGAGAGAATTTGAGTGTGGGTTGCTTTAGTTACTAGAAGATTCATTTTATTTTTTTTCCCTTTGAGGAAATTTTGGAGAGTACTAAGCCTGGCATAGTGGTGGCCTATAATCCCAATTTCTGGAATACAAAGTCAAAAAAGACACATGAGCCTACGAGTTCAAGAACAGCCTGGAAAAGTGAGAACTCATTTCAAAAAGTAACAACAAAAATAATAAAACCAAGACATTCAGGTACCTGAATAATTTAAATTACTTTACTTCTGAATATAATCCTGAAAAGAAAGAGCACTTTGAAGTACAATGTAAAATGCAGAAATCTAAAATCTAACAAATATACACACCTAAACTTCATGAGTTCATGTTTCAAACATGATCGTCAAAGTATCTTTCTGGCCAAATAGAATAAGAAGCAGCAGATAAAACTTTAAAAGACCAATAGCACCTTGCTAGCACATTGCTAATAAGGACTAATAGGTACTTAAACTGATGAGACTGATTCAGACAACAACACATTAACCCCCTACTGTGCCCTGTTTTAAGCTGTTAATAGGCATTAGCCTTTTAGAGAATGCTAGCACTTTCATGTTCATTTCCTAAGCCTTTGGTAGGTACATGAGTGAACTATGAGAGCGGCTTGCAGGTCTGCTTCTTATGCCCTGTATGTTTTCCAGAATACTTGCAAGACTGCTGCTACCTGCTTGAGTTTAGAATCCATGCACTCTTAATGTTCTTAGTGTTACTGCAATTAGTTTTACTTTGCATGCATTTTGATTGCTATAAGTTTTGTGTAGAAATTACATGAGGGATAAAGGCAGGTTTGCTTTTCTCTGCTAGAGAGAATGGTGCATGTAGTGAAAGTAATGGTTCTTAGATTTGCTTTTTTTAAAAATTGCTATAGTAAGGCCATTGTTTATTTTTTCAGTATTGTTCAGATCTATATGAAATTCTAAGTAATCGATTTTCCCCAGAAATGAATCAAATAATTGAAATATATAGCCTATGAATATATATGTATATGAGGAGAGTTTTAAAAATGTAATTTTCTTTAAAAAAATACTGTAAGTGACCTTTAATACCAAATCTCTGTGAGTTAGGATACTATCTTGAATTTTTTGTGTGCATTATTTTTAGAGCACTTTAAAGTAGAGGCTTTATGTTTTCATAATAATTCCATATATAATACTAATAGAGAACTAGGACCAGCAAGATCCCTCCACAGGTAAGGAAATTATCAAGCCTGACATCCTAAGTTCCATCCCATGTGGTGGTGGAAGGAGAGAACAGACTCTCATAAGGTGTCCTCTTACCTTCACATACATGCTTGTACATGCCAAATAAATTAATTTTTAAAAGTTTAAAACAAAGAATTAGCTTAATTTTGAAAGCAACTATATCTTGAATAAGCTGACTATATAAGCAAATGATAAATATGTTGGCTGGATTAAATAGTAATGTGATGTATGATATACATGTATGTATGATGTATGATATACATCACATTACTACTTAATCCAGCCAACATATTTGAATAAATTTAGACTTTACTAAACATTTGGGGGCTTTGAAGTATGCAAATCTCATTCCATCCTTTTGATTGCCCTTACATGTTATTCCTGTGGGAAGCACCACAGACCTGTCTCTCTCTCAAGGACAATCTCCACTTCCCTTGCTAGCCCACCCCTCTAAATGAGGTATCAAGCATTTAGAAGTCTAGAACTATCTTTTTTCATTAGAGTTCCCCCTTTGAAACTCCATTTCTTTTTTTAAGTTTGGCCTGTGAGATTTTCTGTTTTCAGCCAGTAGAGTTGGCTCCAAGTCTGTTAGCTTCTGTAGTTCTCACAGTATGGCCATTGACTTGCTCAGAGTTTCACAAACATGGTTCTTCACCTTTTTGCTCTACAGAAACTGGTTTAAAGTGTGTGTGCAAAGTTTGATATCAGCACTTCATTTGCTAGTGATTCCTTAAGATTGCAATCAGGTTTTTCTCTCCTGCTGAATCAAAATAGTTAGTCTTGATTTCCTATTCCAGCCTGCATGAATGTATCCACATCAGCTTTCTAGAAGCAGTAGGTCTCGTCTTCTTTGCTCTCCACCCACCATCAGTTCCAGCTTCCTGACCTCTGCTTCCAGGATGAGAGGTTCTGGTTCCATATTCTTAAGGGAAAATGATAGCACCTAGTCTGAGTCTATGACCAAGTGGTACAGTTTTTAATAGCAATTGTACAAGAAATGAAAGTTCTGTGTGTATAAAATACTTTTCTATTGTTTCTTGCACATATTTAAAATCAGTACACACAGAAAAGGAGAAAAAAAAAAGCTCAGCAAAACCTAAAAATGAAGAAAGTGTTCATGAGAAGACTGCCTTGTACAGTTTGTTATTGTGACCACTAAATTAACAACTGAAAGACAGAGTTAGCCTTAGTCATAATTTGACATTTTATTTTTTGAGACAAGGTCTTATGAAAAGATGTGAGATGTCATCTAGGCTGGTCTGGAATTTGATATTTAATGAAGGATGACCTTGAACTTCTGGTCCTCCTGCTGCCTCACAAGAGCTGAGATTCTAGACCTGTGCCACATGCCTGTTTATGCGGTGATAAGAGTTCAAGCCTAGGGCTTCGTGAGAACTTTGGCAAGCACTCTTCCAGGTGAGTTACATCCCTGGTCCTAGCATTTGACTTAATTAAGGTAATGATTAACATTGAAGTTAGTGTGGAGCTTGAATTTGTTTAAAATTTTGGTTAGCTTTAGTCTTTTGAATAAAATCAAATGTATAGAATTTAATGGTCACTATTTCAGAGTCAGTACATCCTATAATGTTAAAATATTTTTTCTATATTTTGTAATCAAATTTTTAGTTTAGTGGCCTGCTTGTCTACAGTTTTATAATTCCAAAGTAATTGGACAATAAAATACATTTTTGTTTGTTTTTAAATAATTTTGTGGTATCATTTGTAGCCAGGGCTAATTTGGAAGCTCACTGTGTAGTCCAAGCTGACCTTGGAATCTCAGTTACCCTCCTGAGTTTCTTGTTTTCTGAGACTAGAGGTATGAGCCACCACACCCAGCTCCATAAAAACGTTTTGTGTGGTGTGGTAGTTTGAATGAAAATGGCTCCATATACTCTTAGGGAGTGTCTCTATTAGAAGGTGTGGCATTGTTGGAGGAAGTGTGTCATTGGGGGTGAGCTTTGAGTCTCCAGTGCTCAAGCCAGGCCCAGTGTAGCAGTCTCTTCCTACTGCCTTCAGATCTGAATGTAGAACTTCCAGCTATCTCCCCACACCATGTCAGCCTACATGCCACCATGCTTCCCACCATGATGACAGTGAACTAAAGCTCTGAACTGTATGCCAGTCCCAATTAAATGTTTTCCTTTATATGAATTATCATGGTCATGGTGTTTCTTCACAACAATAGAAACCCTAAGATATGTAGCAAGTTTGAAGTGTGTCTAAAGGCTGAAATGCCCTGTTGGGAACCAAATGAGTGAAAATGCTTGGCTCTTTGTATGAAGTGTGCCACCGAAGGAGCAGAGGTAATCAGTACATTTGAAGGCATCTACAGTTATTCCTTTTCCTCAGCAGCAAGTGTACAGAAGCTCATCTTTCTTACAGAGTTAAGCATCTACCACAGCCCTTGAAAAATCTGTCTGTCTTCCCAAGGGAAAAATATTTTCCAAGAGAACAGTTTTGAACAGTTTGGGTGGGAAAAGAAGTGAGATGAGATCTAGTGCCTCCCCGCTGGCTGCTAATACCACTGTCTGTCTAGATTGTGATGCATTCCCTGAGCCTGGAGGTTGCTTCACTGCATTTATTTCAGCAGCTGTTTATTGACCATCTACTTGTGGAAGACACTGTGCTGAGAGCTGGCTGCCATTCACCAGAGCTTTCTTGTTCAGTTTTGCCAGGAGTGACCCCCTCCCCTCCCCTCCCCATACCAGCACCATTTCTTATTTGATAGGACATTCATACAGGCTGTTTAACACATAGTGATATGTCCTTTTTCTAGTCCAGGTTTGTATTTATTGTGAAAATAAATCTTGCCTATTTTATGACTACAACTGTGAAATTAGTGATTGTTAACTATAGTACAGTGCTTTATAATTAAACTAAATTTGTGATCTAGAATTAACTTCAGTAGCAAAACTAGTATTCAAATTTGCAAATAAATATGTAGCATTGCTTTGAATTACAAATAAGCAATCTATAACATATTACTTTGAAATCCAGGTGATGAGAACAACTTCGAAAAGTTAGTCATTTATCACTTTTATAAATTATTTATTGAGTACTAGTGTTTTCCACATGTAAATTCTCTCTTCTCACCATCTCCTGCTTCTTTTGTTTTGACAGCATAAACAGATATTGGAACAACAGTGTTAATAATATATGTTGGGCCTTCATCCATTGTGATTACTTACGTAATAATAATTGTAGTGAAAACACTAAGTTTAATTTGCTTAAAGGTTGAAAGTGGTAGAGCCAGAATGAGATCACTCTTGAGTGACATTGTATCCTGGATACACCATTTTGTACTCTGATGTATGAAATTGGTTGTGATGAAGTTTTTGGTTGTAGAAAAAAATGATTATAACTAGGAGCCCATTTAGAGAAACAGAGTCTTACAGTTAAGGAGTTAATTCTTTGTGAGCTGAAAGCTGAGCATGGTAGTATAACTCTGGAATCCCAGCACTCAAGAGTCTAAAGCAGGATGTTAAGAGTTCAAGGCTGGCATAGAACGAGTGTTGAGTGTTCAAGGGCCTTATAGTGAAACTGTACTCAGAGGAGGAGGAAAGAAATTGGATATAGCTAGTTATCAGACTCACCATGTTGGTGTCTTGAATGCCATCTTCTCAGCTCATTTTAATATTCACACACACATGATTTTGGGGGAAAGCTTTTCCTAATAGCCTTAACCCAACCCCAATCTAATATGTGTTTTAGAAAAGCAACATATTCGTCCTAACGTTCAGTATATTTACTGAAACAATTGTATCTTGTGGAATACTAAGTAGATTTTTGTATTGTATTGTTTAGGTGACTAGGTTTCTAGTTGTGAAATCCTTTAATATTTTGTTTTGTTTTGTTTTTTGTTTTTTTTCCCTGTGGGTTTCCTCCTCCTTCAAGGAGCCTTTCACTTGGTATGGTACTATAATTCAAATGAAGAAAAGAAAATGAGAAATGACCACATAAAGCAGTTAGCCTCCAGTTTCTATTAACTGTTTATGTGGA